ACCACACTCCCCTCCCCACACTCCCCTTTGCCCTATCCAAAGTTGCATAGGGCTATTTTATTTTTAGAAAGAATAAACTTGAACTCCTGTGTGATTAGGAAGGTTGAATTAAACAAAACATCAGAAACAATTTTCAAACTCATAAGTTTGATCTTACCTCCTTGGAGTACAAATGTTTGACAGTAATCACAATTGAGTATTCATGTTTTTTGAGAAAGCCAAATAATACTAAAACAATACAGGCACACACACACATATATCCATCTAGACATTCAATGACATATATGTCCTTGCATGCTTATGTACCTATATAACTGCCCTGCAAAATAGGGAATTAATTTTGAATAAACAGTTGAACATTATTTTTCTTCCTAGCTTTTCTCATATATCTGTATAAAATATAAACTACACATGCATTTAGGGTCATTGGAGTCATTTTCTTGGTCAAAGCACTATTATAAAGGGGCAAAAGTAGTAACTGAAAATAAGATAAATTCTCTTTGGTATGAATAAATGCTTGCACATCTGTATTTTATAAAGCTTTTTATCAAGTCCATCCTGATAAAATGATATAAAAGTGTGCCTAATTGGGGGGTTTACATATAGAGGTTACAAAAGAAATAATGGAGCACTTGTAAGGATGAGCTGAAGGTAAAGTGGCCTATACTGAAATACAGTGTATTCTAAGTGAAGCCTCCAGCTTCTTAAGATCACAGTCTATCAATCACTACTGCTCTGAAAGTTTCTTGTCTCAGATATACTCTACTGCTTACACTGCATCATGTTTAGTAATTTAGATGGATTCTACCGAGAAATAAACTCTCAGTACTAGGTTTACGCATAGCATCTATAAACATGTAAGGAAGTCATTATTGTGAATCAAAATTCCAACAATTATTATTGAAGCTTTACTATGTTGTAGGCACATAAAATTGAATTTTAAGAGAAAGCATTAAGAGATGGAGACTCCTAAATTCTCCAGAGGCTGGAATGAAAACTGTAGAAAGAAGTAAAGATTGTATTAGGTTGTGAGCTTCCTAGAAGATAGTAAAATAAAAACAGAAAAGGCTCTGGAATCATACTAAACTTGAGCACCAAACTTACTTGTAAATTCACCAGCTGTAGGATCTTAGACAAGTTGTTATAAAATAGAGATGATAATGCTACATTAATGAAATAATAAAATGATGCATTAAAGGTACCTAATATATTCCTTGCATTCCAACAGATGTTCAATAAATAATGATTCTTTTCATTAAACATTCTATTAGTAACAGCAAGTGCATTCTATTAGTAACTCTGCTGCCATTTTTTAAATTTCACCAAGAACCTGCCACAGTTCTTAGCATATGAAAAATTCTTACTATAGATTTGCTAAATGAAAGAGCACTGAATGAAACCCATACTGTACATTTACAACACTTCCACCTGTCTCCATCCCTCTGAGATGAATTTCCTAGGACAGAAGTTGACCCTTTTTGAGGGATTCTGTTGTTTGTCTTTCTGGCTGTTTGAATATTTTAACAGCAATGTACTTTTTCCTCTGATTGCTAACACACCATCTCCAGACACAGATCTGACATTTCCACATTTCCATTCTCTTTTAAACCATAGGAGAATATTATGATGATCCAAAATTCTGCTCATGTGGTCCCAAGAGGTTCAGGTCACTTGGTGGAGTACCCCAGGGCTAGGTTCTTAGGCAGCAAACCCTGTCTAGGGTTTGGCTAGAGTCATGGTTTTAGAATGAAAACAGATGTCTCAGGGTTTCCTCTGGCACCAATCAATCCCCTTTAAACTAGAAGGCTGATTCCTACTTTCTGCCTTCTTGGTTAACATCCCCAGCTTGTCCTTGGCATGACTCATTTAGTCATCACCTACTATAAGACCAGATGCTGGCGCAATCAAGCATGAAAGAAAGAGTGAACAGATGGTCCTGGACCCACGTCCTTGCTTTGCTCTGCATTAAGTTACATGACAGAAGACATATGTTTCATCTGGTTCTGTTTTCTCTTCATTGAAGGAGACACACAGTGGGTCATTAAGATCACTGGCTTGGTCGTCAAAAATGTGTGGCTTTCTATGTTCCCTTTCCAGTTGAAGAGCAATGTAACATTGCACAAATTACTTAAGTGTTTTCCATGTCTCAGATTGATTTATGAAATGGAGAAAATAATAGCATCATAGACCAGTTTGATGAGGGTCAATGAGACACCTGTAATATACTGAAAGGATAAAGCAGAGTAGACTATTGCTGTTGTTCTTCTTTTTCTCACTATCATTATCTCTTCTATATCTAAAATTATAATCCTCAATATAATAACTCTACCTTGTTTATATCAGAACACAGAATTCAGGACTATACAGCAAAGAACTGGAGATAAGAACAAAAAATATGATTGAAATATAAAAGAAATCAGAGGAAATAGGAACAATTGCATTTAAAGTAGCAAAACAAGTAGGCATAATACAAAGGTAAAGAGGTTAATACTAAATAAAGAAACCAATTCCATTTGGGATACTAGAACATTCTGACAGAAACATAGGAAACCATGCTTTTACATGAAGATGACTGATGTGTGTAGAAACCTCTTCATATATTGGAGTCATTTTCCCAGCATAATCAAAAAATCATATCTACAACCTCAAAAACACACCATATTGTATTTTATAAATGTGAGTCTAAGTCTAAAAATCAAGAGGTATGTTTCTGGCCCCCTCTAAGTTTTATGTAGGAAAAAAACCAAAACTCCCATACACCTGATATCCAGTTCAAAGCACTTATGACCTGGTAGCCACATTAAGCCACAGTTCATGGTGGAACTGGTTGAGAGGTTTAGAATCTAAATCATGGAGTAAGATGCACCAAAGGTTAAGAGAAGCAGAATTGTCTGCTTTGGAGAAACAGAAATAGCACCTGGAGATAAGGCACTAAGAAACTTCATCATCTAGAGTGGCAGCTATAAACATGGCCTTATTTCTGTGAATTTGTCCCTTAATTCTACTGTTTAAAAATAATGACTGGAATTTAAAAGGAATACAAGTTCAAGAGTAAGCAGCACAAAAGAATAATTTTTAAAAAACAAATGAAAAATGCTTCTTAGGCCTGACCTAATGTTCTCTCAAACTCAATACCTCAGAGACAGTCAGAAAACGAAGACAGATTACATCAGAAATATTTTTTAAACATACAACCACCACCACCAACAACAAAAACCCATCATGTACCACATGCCAAAAGGCTATGATGAATTTGTTATCTGTCTGATTCTTAGGGAGACCAGTCCACAAATCAGGCAAAGCACAAAAACTTGCCATTTTGATATTGGTATTCTAAAATTAACATTTACCTAAAAAACTCAATTTTGTGTTGTTGAATTTGTTTTCCGTTTACAAATCAATATTAAATTACTAAGAATCGATGTTATTCAATGAAAGGTGGAAACTTGTCTTGTTTTCATCAAAATCTAAAATTTTTATATTTTACTTTTCTTCCAAGAATAGTAGTCTAAACTTGACACTTATGTTCTGATCTTCTTTTTAAGGTACTGTACGTGTTCATAATTTTCATATCATTTATAATTTCTTGTTCAAATTTTGGTTTCAAATATGGGTCTCAATGGTGCACTATTATGCTTTGCTGTGGGTGCTAATGAGTTGCAAGATGATCATAAGATGTATATCTGATCTAGAAAATGTAAGCACTGTTGATGGTTCCAGGTTAGCTGGAGATTGGACATTCCATCACGGATCCAGGGCACCAGGGTTGCTCCAAGGATCATGCTAGGATGGTGATGCATTTTAGGGTATCAGTGACTTTGACAGCTAGCTTTGTTAACTAGCCCCTTTGGACACCAAAATGAAATTAATTATAGCACAACACTCTTTGGGGGACATAATACAAACTCTGTAAAGATTTTTAATATGACTTCCGGAATAAAATACACTATCAGATATTTCAGAGATATAGCCTAAAGGAGGCTTTACTAGAAACCATAAACACTTATATTTCCTGCTCAGATTATGACTCATTTTAAATAAAAGCAAAGAAAATGCAGAGCCAAAGGATAAGGGAAAATCAGAGTAAGAGAAATCCAGAAGTAGAGTTCCCAGCCTAAGCTACAGCATCTTGAATGAAATAAATTGTTGGTTGCAAGTAGTTCCTTGGGGAAAGAGGGGACAAACAAACTTTAAGACATTATGTGATCTCCCCAAGTTGTCAATTCCACTATAGTAAGATTGATAAATGATGTTGTTGGAAATTTTTGTATCCATCATGCTATATATTCTCCAGAGTATTCTCTATGTACATATAATTTTAAAAGTTCTTACACACACAAAAAAAAACAGAGCATTGTTTTCAAATTTATCATTAACTTAAAAAAGACGCATTTAATCCTATTTAATGCACTTCACTTTGTAACTACCTAAAAACTGTTTTCTCATCTTTGGTATCAAAATAAATTTAAATTGGGCTCATACTCAGAATTAGCTATGCTCTGCTATCTGTTTCAATGAGTCTGCTTTAACTTATAAGTATTTTATGTTTAACAGCATAACAGCAAAAAAAAAAAAAAAAGCTAAAACTATCAATTCACTCTCTGCTATCATAAAGCTGTAAGGTTGCCTCTACAAAATTTTGAAACTAAAAACAATTTACTTGATTTAAAAAGTAACATTTTCATAGGTAACAGAAAATTTATTTAATAACATGGTCATAATTTATATTTATGGTTTATTTTCAAAGCACTCTGTCACTTTAATAATAATGTAATACTGGCTTTCCAATGAGGTCTAATAACATTTCATACATTGAAACATGAACTTGAATGTGAACTTGAATAATTACTGTTCCACTATAACTTGTTACGGTGGAGATTTAAGCTATTTGAAAGTTGACATTTAACATCTGCAAGAATTATGAGTTTTCAATGCAACCAGCCATCAATAAATATCCGGGTTACTAACTTTACCAGTGTTGTGTGAACAAAGAGACCCACCTCAGGCTGAGGGACAGCAGCTGCTCCTTTGACTTCAGTAGCTCCGCCACTTTAAAACTAGCAAAGCCCAAGAAGCTTCGCTGAAAATGAGAAAGAAAGAATGGTTTCCATTAACTTCTGGGGTTCTTAATATTTTTGATGTCACATCAATCACACAAAATTAGTCTTTAGAAGAAAAAAAAATATTGAATCTATTAACCTAACAAAAATTTCCACTGACAGAAATACCATTACCAATAGCTTATCCACCCTGGAGATGCAACTGAGGGGGGAAAAGTATCATTTGGGTTAAAAACAAAGAGACCAACAGCCTGGAAAATAACAAGGTGTGAAATACAGCAGTCGTGACTTTTCCGTGAACTGTAATTTTCTCTCTGTAAGAAAAATCTAGGGTAAAAAAAAAAAAAGATCATAAACTTTCAATATTTACCAACGCTGCAGTTCCTATTAGACTTCCTCACATCACTGGGATCAACAACTTTGTATTCCAGATATGAGCAAATCTGTTACTTGGAGCTATTTTTATGTGGGACTCTACAGGAGTTATAAATAGAAACGCTATAATTCTCCCCCATCACAGAAACATTTAAAAATATTTGTTTCCTTTGTTATTTCTTCACTGGCATGGGATAATTTCATTCCAATGTACACCGATAAAATGGTGCTCCTTCCATTATATTTTCTAAAATTGCTTTTTAAACCTATCACACGGGGTTGTTGACTTACCTACAAATTCTTTCTACTCTTTTTGACTCAATGTCAATAATAAAACCCTATTTTTTCTCTCTCTCTCTTTTAGGATAAAAATCTCCCATCTCTTTTTAATATCCCCTGGCTACTTCTGATTTGGAAGTCACAATATTATGACAGTAATAACATAAATAGTATCTCTCATTCTTTCCTCAAGATTAAGGAACAAGCAAGAAAATATCCAACCCTACTATTACCTATGACATTGCTGCCAAGCATTATAGCCACTCTCCAAGAGGTTAAGACCACTTCTTCCAGAACTTTCTCTCATCACAAGTCTGCTGCTAGACTACAATTGGATTTAAGTAGTCTGAGGCTAAGTGGATTTTTTTTTTCAGAAGAAAATAGGAAGTTGTTCCATATATAAAAGCAGGGTCTACAGGAAGCATTTGTTAAGCACTGTTATGGAAGAAGAGATTCATGTGGGCACTTTATACCTCTTTCAAAACTCCAACTTGGGAAAGGAGGTTCATAAAAGTTTAAAACAGACATTTGAAAAGACAACTCAGTTTTGAAGTTGGAGATGTCTCTATGTATTAATGAGAAACCCAATACATTGATTTGAAACTCAAAGCACTAATTTACACACCAACTCAACAAAGCCTTGAAAATCTGAGGTTGTAGGAATAGATGGAAAAATATTAGGCAAAATCAGAGGTTTTGATGAGCAATGGAAGGGAAGTGAATCAGGGCAGAGAAGCAAGTTCGGAAGCTCCATCAACAAAAAAAGCAGAAATCGGTGACTTTTCCATAAAGGGAAGAAAGCTCAGGAAACATCCAGCCCAGGAAAGCATTCAGGTACCTTCCCAAACACTCCCATGGAAGGGACCACTTCTCCCCCCGACCCCACAGTCTTCTCTATTCCCTGTTTTATTTTTCTTCATTGGGGTTTGTCACCTCTGGGGATATTATATGTTTAATTGGTTATTTTTACTCTCCACAAATAATTGAGATTGGAAGATACACAAGAGCTTTATTTCCTTTCTGATAAACTTTGCCAGCAAAGCACTCAGTAGGCTTGTGAAAAATGAATGAATAAATGTCAGAGACTCAAGCGTTTCAAGTAAGTTATTTTATTGTAGTGGCACCCCCTTCTCCACAGAAAAGTCTTAACTGGACTTCTCCAGAAATCCTCACCATGGCTAATTTTAGGACTGTCAGCAAAAGAGTCTCTACAAAAGAGTTCAATGCAGATAAACTTCCAATTTTCGTGTTGCCCTGTTTTACTTGGCCACTGGCTGGGAAGAAATCAGCACTCCAGGTTCTGGACACCCCTTACTAGTTTCTCACAAATACGTATCCAGTATAGTGGTTTGTAGAAATGTGTAAAGGAGGCCTCTGACCATTTCTACATCTCTGGGGCTTCACAGAGATGCCTACGTTTCTAAGGTAAGAGAAGTTACCAATTGGGCTCCATGGTAACAGCTGGCAGAGGGAGGAAGGAAAGGGGAGAAGAAGCTCTCCCCTTCTCAGGTGTTGTCCTTGGAGGGTTAACTTGCCCAGAACAGGGAAAGGAAAAGCTGCTTTTATGTGAACTTCTGCAGACTGTGAACTTCTGAGCCCCTCCCCTTACATGCTGGGTATAAAATTCTGAAACTTACCTGAACTCGGGGTTTAGGGGATTTATTGATTACAGCAAAAGCTGTGCCCTCTGAACCTGGCTGCAGCCGAATAAAACTGTTGCCTGCTATCTTCAGTGCCCTGCCTCGTTTGTCCCTACAACATTATCAGACATGGGAGAAACACTCATTCTGTGGTGGTTACTTATAAATGACTGTAACTCACTGAGATGGGAAAATCGAAACAATTTTATAGTGTGCAGACTCTATAATATTGTAGTAAATTTCATTCCAGCATTTTTAAAGTATGTCTATCTCACTTTTTCTTACACTGATAACCAGGATTTTTAATTTAAATACCTACCTCTCACCCCTTATTCACAATCAAAGAAAAATTAACACATCATCAATTTTGTAACCCCAAATTTTAAATAATTTTCTGTTTGCCTATTGAGATTATGTAGGTAAGGATGAGTTTAGAATTAATAAAACAAACTGCTTATGTCATGATATTATTCTGTGTATTTTTTTTTCTTTCAGAAATAAAGGCACAAATACCCCAGACTGGAATGTAGCAACATGAGACAGGTGGAGTGGCTATTTTTAGACACAAACTTCTGACACACCATAAGGCACAGCTGCAGTAAAACAGATGACCACAAGCCACAGAATTCCTCTCCTGTCCACCAGCCCAGGAGGCTCCTGTGCAAACAAGGCCTTGGCTTGTTCATCTCGTAGCCAAGCCCAGTGTCTGGAAAAGACAGGCTGTATGCTGTGTCTATTGCTATGCTGGGAGCTCACACAGTGGGCCAGGAGAATGAGAAGGAGTCAAGCTTTTCTACCACAACTGTTAACCACATGCTTGATTTCTGGATAATATCAGAACCTTCAGAAATAATGCAACCTGTTGAAATTAATTTGGTTCACTGAAATCTTAGTATTACATTATGAAAACTTTTCAAACCAACAGCACTGTAATCTAAGTACAAATATTACCTTGTTTATTCTAAAAATAACTGTATTGGGGGGACTCAGTGTTAGATAAAATGCATTCATGAAATCCTCAAGTTTAAAGACAATATATACTTGTTTCGCACTGCAACACGAACAAATGGAATTACTTATACATGTACTCTCTAGCAGGTCTTTATGTGCTTACTTCACCTTGATATAAGTCAAACCAGGATCTTCCCCACTCCCCAAATGAGAAAGCAAATCCTACAACTCCGTCAATATTCATTGGACACAATGTGAGGATGAATTAAAGAGAAATCAGTCTTTTCCTGAGATCTCAATTTCCATGGAGGGAAAAAGAACTACTTTTATCTTTGCTGTCACTGTGACCATAATCACTGAATTTAAGTGGAGTCCTTTAAATTTTTTTAAATTTCAAATATAATTCAAGGTGTGATGTTTTCTGTCTCTCTTTTGGTGCTATGGCTGTGGGGGAGAGAATAAAGACAAACAAAAAATGAAAAACCTCATTGAGGTTGGAACTTAGAAGTCAGAAGCATGGTCCTAAACTATGAATTGGAAATCTGGATAACATAAATCACTTCTTGCAGGCCCCAGGCTCCTTTCCGGGGGTGGGGGGGATGGGGTGGCATTCTCAGCCTTGCCTCTTGTCATTTCCTTATGAAGTCTCTGGTCTTGGACAAGTTGCTCTACTACTCTGGGTCTTACTTTCTACCTTTAAAAATGTACACGTAACTGTTTCTTTCCCATAGTTATTATTTTGAAAATCAAGGTAATCCAGGCAAAGAGCTTAGGACACTACTAGGAAAACAGGAAGCACACCATAAATTTAGTTTACACAGTGACTGAATTAATGCACCCGAGTCAGATGCCTCAGAGAGATCTTCTGTCCACCTTAAATACTCCAGAAAAGGCAGAGAATTAAAAAAGAAGAGAAAAAAAATCTATGAGAAATGCCTTCCTAACAAACAGAAAGATGTGTGTAATATTAAATTCCAGTGGCTTGGGAGGCTGACAGGAGGGTCGTGAGTTCAAAGCCAGCCTCAGCAAAAAGGGGAGGCCCTAAGCAACTCAGTGAGACCCTGTCTCTAAATAAATAAGGGCTGGGGATGTGTCTCAGTGGTTGAGTGCCCCTGAGTTCAATCCCCAGTACCCCCCAGGAAAAAATTAGATTCAGGAGAAATATAAATGAGAAGAAAATCTACATAAAAGGTGGAGAAAATTAAGATAGTCTACACGGTCCTGTGTAGTTATCACTGTTAGGAACGTGTTACTTATGATTCTGTATAGTGCAACATTGTATTGAGTTATGTGGACTGTTTAAAGGATATTAAGACTTCTTAAGGCAACAGCAGAGAATAAAGGAAGGCAGTGGGGCCCACAGAGTAAACTGCCTTAACATGCAGGGAGGTGAAGTCAGAATCCAGGCTTCTTGCTTCTCTGCCTGCACAGTGAGTGGCTCTACCCCTTCTTGCCTGCTCATGTGACCATTCAACACTCACCCTTATCATCTGGTACACAGAGCACAAAGCTGATGATCATTAAACTGCCTGATGCATGATCTCACTCATTCATCTGGCTGGAGAGTAATGTCAAGCAGGGTGGAAAAACAGGGGGTGGAGGACATGGGAGGAGCCTGTCACCATCCCTGGATCTAAGGGAAGTATGAAAATCGTTTATGATGATAGCAACAGAAGGATCTCAGAGCAAGTCACGAGACCCCACTTGCTCACCAGGTGATACAGGTCTACAATAGCACTCTGGTCATTCATAAGGGAGTTAAAGGAGGTACAACCCCAAGTTTATTGCCACAGCCTGGTCAAATCTCCATCCCCCCATGTTCATCCACAAAATCTTTATTCAAAGTGTAAGTTTCCTTTATAGCATAATTTGAATGGTCCTCCTCAAATTACTCCAACTTCGGTCCAGAGCTGTGCTACCCAATGGGAAGGCATTAGTTTAATTCAAGCATGCAAAATGTGTCTGCTACAAGTGGAAAATGTTCTCAAGATACATGGTGAATATAGCAGACAAAGTACCAAAAAAGGAACGTGAAATATAACATTAATTTTTTGGTATTGATTACATTATGAAATGATAATATCTTTCATACATTAAATTGAACCAGTTACTTTTCACTTTATTTTAAAACATGGCTACTAGAAAATTTTAAATGACTTATGTGGTATGCATTTTTGTGGTATACATTTATATTTCTTTTGGACACTGCTAGTTTAAAGGTTAAATGAATATCTTAATAACACTTTGACCTGTTCTCAAAGGATACATGGAGTAAGTTTTAGAAGGTCTTTCAAGAGCCAAAGTTGATATCATAAGGCTGAGACATGATATCCTATACATATAACTTAAAGTACAGGTTCTTTTTTCACAGTCCAAGTACTCTTTTCTTCACTGCCAACCATCATCAATATGGTTACATGGTTTCCACCCCCATGAAAAAGGGAAAAGAATATGTGAACTATTAACACTAAAAAAACACATCAGAAAGAAAAAGAATTGGGAGGAAATCTATTAGAAGTTAGATTAGACTCACCCAAAGAAAACATTAAATTAATCATTTTATGGTACAGCCATTTATTATAAAATCTTTACTCTGAATACACTTTCAAAAGTCTAAGAGCACAAAGTGATACCTGTTTGAATATATCATCAACAAAAAGGCTTGGATTCACCCAGTAAATGTTGCTTAAGAAATAAATACAGCACACTCTTTACCAAGAGGTTCCATTTATTTATTCAGTTTCAAGGAGAATGAGCTGGTTTACCTCTTTCTCCTCAAACTGCAGCATCACAGGGAGTAAAAGGGTCCTGCACACCTGTGGCTATGAAGAGCTGATGAGGCTCAGAAAAACTTTCTGGGCCCTCTGGGGAAACTAAAGGCAGGCCCACGTATTCCGAGCATAGAGACTGTCAGGGGGAGATCCTACTGAGCAGTTGAAGTGGTTAGCAGCAACAAAAGTGCAGAGAAGGAAGTTGCTCATCCTGTCCCTGGGAAGAAACTGGAAGCTTGTGTTCGGCCAGTCCCCAGGGCCTTCTTTCCTGCTCCCTCTTTACTAGCAGATGCTCAGGTAACCAGACATTCTGCTCAGCCAATTCAACTTGCACATTGGTGTGTATATGTAGAGTGCTCCCTTGCCAGGTTCAGAAGTGACTGTTGTCAATGACGAAAAATGAATCTAACACAGTGCTCTGCACATTCACTGGAAGAAAGTTGTCGAGTGCCTGCAGGATTTGAAATAGGTCTTTTCAGCTGGCTCAGCCCCGGGGCCTCTGAGACTCAACTTTCTTCTGGACTTTTTTCTCCTCTCTGAATGCACAGGTTGCAGGGATTCAGCCTGCTGAGTTGTATCTTGTCAGGAGCTGTCATCTCCGACTCTAGCCTTGTCTAAGCAGAAAGCATCTGCTATCCTCTTGTTCTTCCTAAATCTGAAGCCTGGAGATACATTGGTCCAGAAGCAGCAGGAATATCTCAGCAGAATTTGCCAACACTGGACTGAACATCAATAGTCATCTCTCTTTTGACCTGCCTTACATGTTTCAATGGCTGGAAGCAGAAAACATCAAAGTCCCCAAACTGGTTCCCTGTCCTCTTCCTATGGAGCTGCAGCTCACGACTGTAATTTCCCTAGCCTCCTGATGGCCTGGGAATGTAGGCTATGAACTGCATTTCAGCTACCTGCTGGGTGATCTGTGCTGTCTCTAGTCGGCTGAACTAAATAGATTCATTTGAGGATGATTTTCAGGAGACAAAGAACGAATTCCACACCATTCGATAAACATGTGACAAGGCCTCTTTGAATAGTCACACCCTGCTAATTTAACTCAAGTTCACTCCTCAGCTACCAGGGAGGAGGCCAGAGAAAATTCAGATGATTAACTAACAAAAGACGTGTAGTGTGCACTTTTTGGAAATATAAGAAACACTTACCCCAACTTCTGGTGGGGGATCTTTCTGTTCAGGTAGGACACTGGTTCGAACCTATGGAGAAAAACAAATATTTTCTATATGACTTTGGAATACAGACTAGTGCAGAAGCTCCAAACAGGTGCTGGATTTCAATTTCCTTCTTCTGGTGTCAATTCAGACTCTGGTTAATCATTAGTGAAGGTGCCTGGGCTCAATCTCCAGTGCAGTACAATACAGCTGTCCTTTTATAGTTTTTAAACTTCCTGATTTTCCTAAGTGGACAGATCCTTGCCCCATTGCCTCTTTGTCAAATATAGTGACATCCGGGATTTAGGAGAATCGCCTTTAAACTCTTCCAAAAGCAAGCTTTGTTCATTAGTCAAAGGAAAGAGAGTTGGTGTCGGGAAAGTAATTCCATGCATGCTCCACAAATGCTCTCTGAATGAGCTCCAAAACCCATGCTCCTATTAGGATACCCCTTCCACATGAGAATTTGCCATCTGAACTCATTTAAAAATAATTCTCACTTGGAGTAGAGGGAAAAGGGTCAAGCAACCAGTCATCTGGGGGAGGTTTTGATATCAGCTTTCCATGTGAAATGGCAACCCCTTGGATAGTGAGAGGACATATATCTTCTACTGAGTTGTGATTCTCAGTCCAGGCTATACACTACAGTCAACTGAGGATCTCTGCAAAATATTGCTGCTCCTTCCTGTCCCCAAATTTTCTGAATTTAATATACTGTCTAGGGTTCTCTTAAGAAAAAAAAAATGTTTCATACAGAAAAAAAAAAAGTCATGATCATCTTTATCTTCTCACTTCAGAAAAAGGTAGCCAAAGCAAGAAAAATAACTTAAAATTTATATTTAGGATGACTTCATTTGAAATAAAGATGAGATAAACCACTGGAATGGCCACAGAGCAATATACATGCTCAGCCTGTTGCATTGGGAAGGATAGGGAACAGCAGTCAGGAGGATTCCATGGGTCAACATTTTAGGAGTCATTTTAATGAAACTCCTTTGAAGGTATAGCACGTCAAATCATACTTTTTCCTCACTTTCCTTAAGTCCTGACACACTGGACCACACCAAGTCAGTCAAACTAGGACGAAGGAATGCTTATAATATCCCTAATAATGTCAAACGGCTTGACCCAGACCCTAATGACCTGCTGATCTTTAACACAGTGTTCATTTCCTTTAAAAAATAAAAAATGGTGCAAGGCATGGCAAAATGTGCCTTTTCACTTCCAGCTTAAGGCTCCGTTTCTTTTCTTTATGAGAGATCAAGCACTACTGCTTGCACAATTTGTCAGTCATTATGGCTCCACACTGTTGACCAGAGCACCAAATAAATGACAGGAGAGATCCCAACAGAGTAAACAACACAATTTACAGCACCACTTGACTTGGAATTTCATGGCAGAGTGCAATTGCATGGCAGAGCTCTTGCTGGCCAAGAGCATTTGTAGTTAGCTGAGTAGCTGCATTCGTGTTCTTTGCCCGGGTGTACTATTCAGTCCCATTATCTGAGCGCCATCAGCTAGCCTGGGATCAGAAGAGAACTATATGAGAAGTGGGCTGTATAGACCATAGAGTGTGTGTGAATATAGCAACTCTACATACGGTGTGTGCATGCACAAGTTCAATCTCACATTCTCTCTCTCTCTATATATATATACCTAATGTGTTATAATGAATTATAAATGTAGTGAATAAATGCACATATGCAATACATGCACACACTCATGCATATGTACATTTTTTTTTCTTTTGGGTTACTGAGGATTGAACTTGGGGCACTCAACCACTGAGCCACATCCCAACCCCTGTTTTGTATTTTATTTAGAGACAGGGTCTCACTGAGTTGCTTAGCACCTTGCTTTTGCTGAGGCTGGCTTTGAACTCACGATCCTCCTGCCTCAGCCTCCCAAGCTGCTGGGATTACAGGCATGCGCCATGGTGCCAAGCTGTACGTTATTTTTAAAATCATTTTCCAAAGTGGTATGTTTGAATTTACAAATACAATTTTAAAAGTCCAAAATCAAGGTTCAACATATATCAAATTATATAAAGTATGTGGATTATGTATATGGGTTAATATGTGTGTATAAGTCTATGATTAATGATGAACAAAAGTAGAATAATATTGACAATGCTGACAGGGACCTTTAAACACTTATATTAATTTTGTCTTTCCTTATAAATATGAATAGATCAAAGAGAAAAAAAGAAGATCCTGTATCCCAAACCATACACATAAAAAAATTATAATTCACGAACAAGTTTGGCATGTTCTGAGTATGCTTTTATGTGTAAAGGGGGAAAAAAGAGAGAAAATGAAGTTCTTTTTCAATTTACATAATAGAAACATGAGTACATTTTCCTATATTGAAGCACATTTAAATCACCAGTCCAGCTCCTGATTTAGCAGAACTGAAAGATAAAATTTTGTAAACCAATTCCAAATTTTATGAGTCAGATTTTCATATGAAACATTCATTTAAGCCAGTAAAATATGTACAGCTCTAAAACGTTTAAGTTAGTATTATTGATATTTTGGTACATACGTTATACAACATTGATGCTTTTTTACATAAAACATACACCTCATTTCAGTGAATGCAAACCAGGTAGCAAGCACTGGATTTTCCAATCTCTTTGGGACTTGAGAGCCTAGTGGATAGGATAAAAGTAAAACAATCCAGTACAAAGTAGTGAGTACCCTAACGGAAATAAGAGCATTTGCTCTGGGCATTGGAAGGGAAGAGTATTTCAGCCTGTAAGTGACATAAAAGGCTCCACAGGAAAGGTGCCTGAGTTTTGAAGGATGAGTAGGAGTTTTGGGCATGTAAGCGCACAATAAAGCAAGAAGCTGTGTAGCAGGCAGGAGTCAAGGAGTGGTGAAAGTTCAATGGTGTTCAGGAAAGCGTGCCTAATCCGGTGATGCGACAGGGGCTTGTGAGGAAGGGAAAAGTTAAACATGATCAGGGGAATAGGTTGGGGTCATTGGCTGTATAAGGCTTTCTATTGTGTTATAGAATTGGAGCTTATTTGCATTTATTTATTTGAGGCAACAGGAAATTAGGGAAGGTGCTGGATAAAACAATGACATGAACAGATTCCCTTGAATCACGGCAGTCTCCTAGGAGAGATATTTACCCTTTGTATTCCACTTGCCTTTCTATCTTTGGTTCTGTTCTTTAATAGGTAATTAATAACACACCCTGTACCTTGTTCTCTCAAATCTTTTTCAGTCTTTAGAACAGTACCAGATCCAGAGAGAGAAGAAGGCTTAGATGTCCTTCAACAGATGAATGGATAAAGAAAATGTGGTATATATACATAATGGAATATTATTCAGCCTTAAAGAAGAATGAAATTATGCCATTTGCAGGTAAATGGATGGAACTAGAGAATATCATGCTAAGTGAAATAAGCCAATCCCCCCCAAACCAAAAACTGAATGTTTTCTCTGATGAGCAGATGTTGATCCATAGTAGGGTGAGGGGATAAGGAAGAATAAGGGAACTTTGGTTCATGTAGAGGGGAGTGAGGGGAGTGAGGGAAGGAGTAGAGCTGTGGGAATGGGAAGAATGGTAGAAAGAGACAGACACTATTACTCCATGTACATATCTGATTCCACTACTGGAGTGACTCTGAGCCATGTATGTAGAGCCAGAGGAATGAGAAGTTGTGCTCCCTTTGTGTACAATATATAAAAATGCATTCTACTGTAAAATCAAAAAAAATAAATTATTAAAAAAAAAGAAGGCAGGAAGTGATAGAGAAGGAGATGATGTAAGGAGGAGAGGAAATGAGGAGGGAAGGGAGAAAAGAAAGGATGAAACGAAGACAGAGGAAGGAAGATGGGGGGAGAGAGAGGAGCAGTAGGCAGGGGAGAAATGTCACCAAAAAACACTAAACTCTGAACAAAGTTAGGCGGGGCCTCTTGGCCAGGAAGGGGTGAAGTGAGTCTCTCACGGCAGCATCTGGAATATTCCAGTTCACTGACAGTGTCAGGCCTCCTGAGAGTTACTGGCCTTCCTCAGGAATTCGTTTTCCCTTTTTTGGTTTCCTCTGTCCGTCTGCACCATATCCCTCCTGTCTGGTCTTGGGACAGAGGAATGTCTGCCTGAGTGATGACCAAAAGCTCCTGCAGGGCTCTTGGGTCCTGACACTGATGCAGGCTTCTGTTCACTGCTCCGCTGGAGCCTGCAGAGCAGTGAACAGGAATGACCACGGAGGAGATCTTGCTATGCATCCCATCTTGACTGTGTCTGAAGTTCATATGAAACAAACTAATTTGCTTCTCTATGAGCCTCAGATGTTCAACATTCTACTCACCAAATCGGCCTTGAAACAAAACAAAACACAACAACCCATAGCACCTGTGAGTTCTACTCAAGTCTCCCATCAACTTCCTAGAGTCTATTTCACCGACCTTAACTAGTTCCTAACAAGCTGCGGTGGGTGAAAACAACACTTACAGGCTCAAATTCATGCAGAAAACATTCCTTAAACTAGTCAATCTCTTGCTAGAAACACAGCTCCACTGTGCTTAGGTGAAGACTGCCATGATTTTCATGAGTGGAAGAGAATGTGGCATTGGGGCTGCCAAAAATTGAGGATCCCAACCTAGAGAAGGAGAGGGTCACACTGCCATGAGTCAGCACACCTGGGTGGCACTGCCTGGACCACATGCAGCTGTATGTGGGCATCCTCACTGGGGTGAGGATGAAGCAGCCTACGGGTAGAAAGACTCAGCAGGAAGACAAAGGGAAGGGTGGCTGATTCCAGAGGGACACTTCTGAGCAGGGAGAGAGCCCAGGTCCTCTGCTCAGAATACTGCCACATCTGGGGGTGTCTCTGAAAATGAATGCAATGTTGAAGCATATTCTTCTTCTCCGCCAATACAAATTCCCAATTATCTATGTATCTCAAGTTCAAATACACAATGATCATCCCATTCACTTGGATAAGACAGAGATCTATATTCATATTTGAACCCATGAAAACCTGGCTGGGATAGAAACGTTCAGCTTTCTTCCACAATATGGATTTTTCTGGA